AAATTGTTCAGCTGGTAAGAACCTGGACCAGATATGAACTAAGGTCCTCTAAATTGTTCAGCTGGTAAGAACCTGGACCAGATATGATCTAAGGTCCTCTAAATTGTTCAGCTGGTAAGAACCTGGACCAGATATGAACTAAGGTACTCTATACTGTTCAGCTGGATATGTGCTATGAACTAAGGTCCCCCAAGCTGTTTAGCTGGCAAGAACCTGGTCCAGATATGATCTAAAGTACTCCTAACTTTTAGGTGATGTTCTCATATTTCTGGATTCTCACTGTGAGTGTAATACTGGCTGGCTGGAGCCGTTACTTCAGAGAATAAAGGAAAAACTATTATTCATTTTTTTAATGTGGTAAATTTACTTAACAACCCCCTTCCCCCTCTGAACCCACACCACGCACACAAGTTATGAAAAACAATGTCAAAAACTGAATTAACATGTGAACTATTGTCAACTTAATGTGTTTTGCCAAGAAAGAATGTAAGAAAAGCAATATAAGTGAATACATTTTTTATAAATACTCAAAATTACAAATCCAAAAAAAAGAATTAAGAAATTGATGAATTGATGAAATGAATGGATGTTGAGTACAGGAGGAGCCTATGGCCTTTGTTGTTCCAATTATAGACGTTATAGATGATAAAACTATGGAATACTATCATGGGAACGGAAACTATTTCCAGGTAACATTTCTTAATATTTCAGACTCGGCGTGTATTCAAGATTTTATACTACGCTCTGGTTAAAAATATCATCAAAAAAGTCTAGAACCCTCTCGAAAAAGAAAATTTTTGGCTCAAATACTTAATACCTTGCCTCCCTTCAACCAGTAGCTGGTTATAAATAGTTATTAGCCAGAGTTAGCAAGATTAAGTAAAAATATAATATGCCTCCCCTTGGCCCTTAAGTTGCCCTTATTTTCTTTAAAGTCTGTATGTTTCTGCGTTAGCGTTAGCGTTAGCGTTAGCGTTAGCGTTAGCGTTAGCGTTAGCGTTAGCGTTAGCGTTAGCGTTAGCGTTAGCGTTAGCGTTAGCGTTAGCGTTAGCGTTAGCGTTAGCGTTAGCATTAGCATTAGCATTAGCGTTAGCGTTGTTTTACAGGTTGGAGGGTTCACCTGGGGAGGACACTTTACCTGGATTGATATATCTCCTGAAGAACTAGCGAGAAGAGGAAGTCCAATAGCTCCTACTAGGTATCTGGTCTATAATATATACATATAGAAACTAACGTTTTGGTCTTGAGTGCAAGAAGTTTTTTTCTTTTATCATAGATCCCCGACAATGGCTGGAGGCCTGTTTGCTGTATCTCGGAAAACCTTCTGGGACCTGGGCTCCTATGATGAAGAGATGGATGTGTGGGGAGGAGAGAACCTGGAGATGTCATTCAGGTAAGCAGTTCATAATCAGAACAATTCAAATCTTCTCTAATGTTTGATATATTGAAATGAATTATTGGTTCAGGAAAAATACGAAACTCAGCAACTTACGAACTTTTTAAATTAGAGAAAACACAAACCTTCAAAATTTTAACCGTTACAAACAATGCTATAAGCGCGCCGACCAGATTGTCCCAATATTCATATTTACCTCAGAAATGAATTCCTGGTGCCCAATTACCTATAAATTAAGTTACAACATGCAAATCTGTGCTAAGTTGACCATAAGATAACAGCTGGCTACTAGTGTGCCGATCAGAATACTCCAATATTTAATTTTACATCGGAAATTAATTTCTCTTGCCCAATTATCTGTAAAATGTAAATTAACATACAACTCAAAAAATATGTGGTTAGATGACCCAAAACGTAATTGCTGGATGCTAGCGCGCCGATCAGAATGCGCAAACTACATTTTGACCAAAGAAATAGAATCCCCATGTTGCTACATCTGGTTTCTAGCGTGCGCGCGCCGATCAGAACGCTCCAATGTCTGTTTTGACCACAGTAATCAATTCCTTGTCCCAATTTACCGGTAGTTTGATGTATCGCATGCTACTTTTGTTTTAATTAATACCAAAATTTAAAAAATTAAGAATCTCAAATATTTTCTAAAGTGCGCGCGCGCGGGAATTTGAGGCTTTTTTGCGCTAAACTGTTCAGGCATTACTTGCCTAAAAGCATCTTGAAGCAAATTCAAGTTCATTTCATGGTTTCAAGCTTGCAAAAATGCGAAAAAAGTAACATTTTCCACCAAAAAGCATACGCTCGGATTATTTTTAAACTAGATTTTTCAGTTACAATGCATAATTTTCAGTTCACATACGAAAATTCAGCGTTCTTCTACAATGCTTAGTTATGTTAAAACACTGTTTAAATTTTCTGTAGAGTAATACGTTTTGCCCCCCCCCCCCCACTTTGACCGTGATAATCATGTCAAGATTGAAGTGTCTGCAGCTTTTATTATGTGACAGTTAAGTTATTTTTAAAATTATGATTTAAGGAAAATAATTTTATTTTGATTTCAGGGTTTGGCAGTGTGGTGGTGTACTAGAGACAATTCCTTGCAGTAGAGTTGGTCATATTTTTAGGTTAGTTCAAATTACCCCAGATCAAGGGGGAAAGTACATCAGGGACTAATCCTCCTTTTAGTACAAAAGCGTCAACGGCTCAGGAATATTTTTTTTACGTTTACATAAAAGTGTTGAATAAAACACTACTTTACTTTAACATGAAAGACGAAAGTGCGCAAGAACCCCACTCTTTACTTCTACAAAAGTGTCAAGAAACGCTCTTTTTACTTTTACATAAAATTGATGAATAATATACTACTTTTACTTTAGAATTGTGTTGAAGAAACAGCCTTTATACGTTTACATAAAAGTGTTAAATAAACACTCTTTACACGTTTACATAAAAGTGTTGAAGAAACGCCCTTTTTACGTTAACATAAAAATATTCAAGAAACACCATTGTCAAGGAACGCCTCAACTACGTTTACTCTGGTATTTTGTCGAATGGAATAATTTACTAAAATAAAATGTATGTTTAGATCGTTCCATCCCTACTCATTCCCTGGAAACAAAGATACCCATGGTATCAACACTGCTAGGACTGTTGAGGTCAGTCAAAGAAAATTTGTAAAATTTTGCATTTATTTTATTGCTGTTAACAGCATTTGTTGCAAGTTTCTGTTGCAAATGAAAAGCATAACAATTAAAAGCATAACAATTAAAACCATAACAATTAAAAGCATCACAATTAAAATCAACAATTAAAAGCATAACAATTAAAATCATAACAATTAAAAGCATAACAATTAAAATCATATTTGATATTTTGATAAAAATTTAGAATGATCTTTACGATTTAATTATAACTTGAATCTGATCTGTAGGTTTGGATGGATGAATATAAAAAACTGTTCTATATGCACAGGCCTGATCTTCTCAGCACAGACATAGGTTTGAATTATTTAAACATTTGTTGATATTTCATGTTTTTAAGGATTTAAGAATCCTGCAAAATTGATTTATTGCTGAACAAATTAAATTTGTATGAATTTATTTATGAGGTTGCAAAATTCATATCATGTTTCCTCAGATGACAAGAAAATGCAATATTCAAGAAAAATACATCCCGAATAAAAATGAAATATTTTTGATAAAACATTGACTGCAAAAATTCGAGTTTTTGGTCCACATTACAGCTGATGCAGGTCCGGATACAGGGAGGATTATTGGAACAAATAACCCCCCCCCCCCCGGACAAATTCCTGGTCCTGGTCACCAGTAACCAACTGGTTACTTGTAGTAGATTTCTTGAATGTAAAGAAAGTAAACAAGAATAAGATGTAAGCAAATCAAAATCTACTACCAGTAACCAACTGGTAACTGGTAGTAGATTTCTTAAATGTGAAGAAAGCAAACAAGAATAAGATGTAAGCAAATCAAAATTTACAAGATTGAACCTCCTTGTAATGAGTTTAATGCTAGCGATAAACTGAATTCTCTTCCATATTCTGAAGTCTGATTTGATTTCTGTCTCTCTGGTAAATTTATGGGGAAAAGAATTTTATCTAAATTGAGAAATTTTAGGTGAAGGAAATGCAAACAAAATTTAATTCTATCCAGGTTTTTATTTTTTGGGCTAGTTTTGGGGGAGAAAATTCAAACTAAATTTTCTCCCCTTTCTCTGGTTTTCTGAGAATATTTTTTTTCTTTTTTCTTTTCCTCACATTTCACACTTTTTTCACTCCGCTTTTTGTTTAATTTCTTTGCCGTGTTTGGTAAAATTTTATTTCTTTTCCTTCCCTTTTGGGGGTGCAGGGGGGGGGGGTAAGGATATACAACCCTGCATAGAAAGAAATTATGAATTTTTCTATTTTTTGAAAATACTAGTAAAATTCTTTCTTTAAAATATATTAAAATTAAGCCTATTTGCAGTGTTAAAAGATGTTCGCAAGATCAGAATAATCTGATACTTTCAATTATGTTTGGGCCTTAAACTCTTTTTTTGTGTTTAAATGGTTTTTAATATGTAAGACTGTTCAATATTTTAAAATTATGGATGTTAAAGTCTGAATAAGATTATCAAAGTAGTTTAAAAGGAATGTTTGTATATTTTTTAATATAATATAAACACTTCAATAGTTAAGCTTGAATCAGAGTCATTAAAAGCATAATCCAATCCTTAACTACACGTGCGTCAATTGGAAAGAACTGGGACCAGAAATAAACTAGGGTCCCGTAAAATGTTCAGCTGGTAAGAACCTGGACCTTATTTGAACTAAGGTCCCCTAAACTATTCAGCTGGTAAAAACCTGGACCAACTATGAAGTAAGGTCCCCTAAACTATTCAGCTGGTAAAAACCTGGACTAACTATGAACTAAGGTTCCCCAAACTATTCAGCTAGTAAAAACCTGGACCAACTACTAAGGTCCTCTAAACTGTTTAGCTGGTAAGAACCTGGACCAGATATGAACTAAGGTCCTCTAAATTGTTCAGCTGGTAAGAACCTGGACCAGATATGAACTAAGGTTCTCTTAACTGTTCAGCTGGTAAGAACCTGGACCAGATATGAACTATGGTCCTCCAAATTGTTCAGCTGGTAAGAACCTGGACCAGATATGATCTAAGGTCCTCTAAATTGTTCAGCTGGTAAGAACCTGGACCAGATATGATCTGTGGATTTGGGTGGAGGGTATAACTAATCCACCAAACTTATCAATATTCATTATGCACGCCAAATCTAGGTTTTATACTATTCAAGCGTTCCTGTGAAAAAATATGTTGCTCGCTATGTACTTAGAAGTTTGCTCCCTCTGAATTTTCTTGTATTCGCCCCTGATCTGACGTTCTGTGAACTGACTTCAGGTTAACCACAAAGGATGGGACTGTAAAGACGACCCAAAACTCATAAAATATGTCGATTTAAAGCTTGATTTTTGGTTTCTGCATTCCATTTAGTTAGTAAACCACAAAACGATTAAGTACAAAAATATACATGTTACGGCCGGCAAGGAACCCTGAATGTAAGAAATAAGACTAAAAATATTCTGTACAGTTGTCTCTGCAGTCTCGTCCTTTGTGGGTAACCCTGTAGAACAATGGATCTATTTCTAAAATCTTAGCATCTTGATTAATTAAATAATAATAAAGAATAACAAGGCTATTGAGTTTTACTGTACTGACAAAGAAAATTAATCCTATTTAATTTGAAAACGTCCCTGGAAATAAATAGAAAAATATTTGAAAAAATAGAATTCACGAAAACTTTTAAAATTAAAAGTTTTTACTAAAACACGATTTTTAGAAGCGCATTAATTTTGAAACCAATTTTTTCTTTTATTATAGAAAATATCAATAAGTATTTGGAACCTGATAGAATTTATTTCTAGCTAAACAATTCTTAAGTTTAAAAAATTAGAGAAGAAAAACTACTTTATTGAAATACTTGCTTACTTGGAACACGTTCTTAGTTGGACAGTCTTACTAGGAATACTTTCGTATTTGGAACACTTAATTCCTCGAATTTCTCAAAAAAAGTGACTCGCGGATTTTCGCTAAAGGAAAAAAGGGGATTTCTACCAAATTATTTAGATAAATGTTTAGGGTACAGCTGTGAATGTGGCTTGCCCCCTTTTTTTCGAATGGAAGGTCTTGAAATTGAAAATATAGGATATTGATATAGTTTTTTTACGCTTTATCATTTTAATTTTTTACTTTAACATTCATGTAATTGTAACACTTTCCTACTTGGAACACATTCTTTCTCGGAATACTTCATTATTTGGAACACTTTCTTCCTTGGAACACTTTCTTACTAGTAACACTTTCTCCCTTGGAACACTTTCTTACTTGGAACACTTTCTTCCTTTTAACACTTTCTTACTAGTAACACTTTCTTACTTGGAACACTTTCTTACTTGGAACACTTTCTTCCTTTTAACACTTTCTTACTAGTAACACTTACTTGGAACACTTTCTTCCTTTTAACACTTTCTTACCAGTAACACTTTCTTATTAGTAACACTTTCTTACTTGGAACACTTTCTTCCTTTTAACACTTTCTTACTAGTAACACTTTCTTACTAGTAACACTTTCTTACTATTAACACTTTCTTACCAGTAACACTTTCTTACTTGTAACACTTTCTTACTTGTAACACTTGATTACTTGAAACGTATTCCAAGAAATACTTGTAACTCTTTCTTCCTTCTTACACTTTCTAACTTATAACACTTTCTAACTTATAACACTTTCTAACTTGGAAGAATTTCTTACTCGTAACTAAGTCTTGCATTCTTTCTTTTATAAGTGTTTTACTTGGGATACAAAAAGAGTTCGAAGAACACTTATACTTGTATCAGTTTGCTACTTACTATATACTAGGAATCTTTTTAACTTGAATTACTCTCTTATCTCTTTCGTTTTTGCCATTATATTGAAGTCATTTCTTAGGCCTTAGAAGAAACAAGAAAACAGTGAAATGATTGTTGTCGTCTTTATATCTTATAATTGTGAATGACACTGAAAAGTTTATAATTTGTTACCGAGTTATTTTTGAAAATGTGCAAATGTGCTCTGAACACCAGCACTAACATAATCATACTTGTAAAACTAATAAAAAAAGTTCAAAATTCTTTGTGACCTATTTTAAAGAAAATGAAAAAAGAAATAAGTTAAAATAACAGTCATTGTTTACTGGGGCCTGGAATAACCCCAGCAATTTTCTTTAAATTAATAAATAAATACTGGAATAAGAGTATAAATAAAAATCTACGTTTTTTCTTAATATGTATCTCAATATAAGTTTACCCTTTTTTTCTCTACAATTTAATATCCATCAATCATAAAAAAGATAAATTTCATCTCTTTTTTGTTTGTTTAGGAAGTGTAAAGAACCGTAATAAGTTCCGTGAAGATAAACAGTGTAAACCATTCTCTTGGTTTCTCAAGAATATCTATCATCAGAAATTCATTCTGGACGATCCAGAACATGTAAGCATTCATTCATTTCGAACGATCCGGATCATGTATTCATTCATTTATTCATCCTCACTAAATAATCCGGAACATGTTAGAAGTCATTCATTTATTCATTTTAAACGATCCGGATTACTTATGCATTCATTTATTCATCCTTCTTAAATAATCCGGAACACGAAGCAGCCATTTGTTTATTTATTTTGAACGATCCGGATCATATATTCAATCATTTATTCATCCTTACTAAATAATCCAAAACATGTAGCAGCCATCCATTTATAAATGCTGAACGATCCGGATCATGTATGCACTCATTTTCCTTTCTGCACAATGCGGAACATGAAGGAGTTATTCATTTATATTAATTTCTTCTTGATGTTTGTAAACAAATAAGCATTAATTCCTGTATTCAAGCATGACGATCCGGAACATGTAGCATTCCAACAGTCATTCATTCTTAACGATCTGGAACAAAAAAGCATTCTGGAAACGTCCAAAAACAAAACGTTGAATGCTACAAAACGTTAAATGGTGCAAAATGTCGAAATTACAAGACTCCGTACTCGTAGCTAGTTTGCAAGTTTGAAAGGTTTAAAGAATAAAGGGCACCTTTGTGAATCCAACGTACAGCTTTATAAATAGGTCACTTGAAGTTTTGTCTACAATTCACTTTAGAACTGGGTTAGTCCTAAAACCATTAATTGTTTGATATTATCAGGTGTATGCTTATGGACGGCTCCGTAACCCTAACACTGATACTTGTTTGGATAATTTACAGAATGATGATAAGGACAGGTAGAGATATATATATATTACGTGTACTGAAGGGCCCGTGGTCGACAGTCATAAGCATTTCTCCCACTTATAAATTTACACTCAGCTCTTCACTGAGTATGTCCATTAGAATTTAAATGGGAGGAGCTCACGCCTATTCTGCTAAGAGGATAAGGGTTGACTGTGATTATTATTATTATTATGTTTATTTGAATCAGAAATAAATACAGCCTTATTTTTAAAGTTACAAATACATTGTTATTTTATTGTATCCCCCCACCCCCACCCGTGTTTGTATAAAAAGCCTTTTTTTTTCAAAAAAAAGGTTCAGACCTTTTAAAAATTAGTAAAAACGGTAGTAAATCGAATAAATCCAGTGTGTTTTGTGCATATTTTATTTTTTT